GAGTGGCAGCTGCCTTTAGTGGTGCCTTTGAATCCCCTGGGGCCCGAGGGAGCACTAGGCAGCCTTGAAGACAGCTCCAAAGGCAGCCCTTGGGAAGGCAGTGGAGGTGCAGGGAGCCTAAGGAGAAGTGGCAGTGCAAGGCAAGCGCAGAGCAGGAGCCGAGGAGTGCAGCCGGTGTGTTAATCCAGACGTGCTAGCAAAGCATTTGCTCCGTCCTGTGCTCTCCCCTCCCAGAGCTGCTCTGGTATGGGTCCTGGCAGGAGAAGTCTCCTCTTCCTGCCTTCTCAAGTGGAAGCAAAGAGGGCAGGAGTACCAGTGCTCAGGTCCTTTTCCACTGGGACTCTTTGCTGGTTCTGCTTAGAACCTGTCTGAGAACTCTGGGGGCTTTAGCAGGACAGGTCTTTATGATGGGCTAAAGAGGGTTTTCTTTCCCATGACCTTCCACTCTACTCTCCTACTCAGGGACTTTGTGACCTGCAGCAAGGCCTTGGATGTCCATCTTTTCTGCTGTGACCTGGGCTTCCAGCTGCTCTCCAGCTCCCTCCTCAGCTACAGCCATAGATCTCCAGTTGTGGTTTAAGCCAATGTTGTGGGGGAAAGGCTGTGCGGCACAGAGTGACTCTGTCCCACCCAAAGCAGAAGGCAGTGTGGACAGTGGCAGTGCAAGGCAAAGGTCTGAGCTGACGAAGGCAGGTTGGTGTTGCAATGACTCTGAAGGCCTTGGAAGGATTGCCACGCCAAAAGCATTGGTGGCCTTGAAGGGCTGCTGAGAGAAAGGGTTTCTCAGGAAGGCGCAGAGCTCAGGTTGCTGAGAGAAAGCACAGCTGGCAGAGGGAAGGAGGCCCCCCCTCCTTTCTTGGGACAAAGCATCCCTAGGGGAAATTCCCAAGCTGCACTGCAGTTGAGGGCAAGACAGTCGTGCCACGAGTGACAAGGTGATGCTCTCCAGCAGGAAAAAGCCCAGTTAAGAAGGGGCCCCATGGGCTCAGAGGTCAAGAAAGTGCAGCTCTTTTGGACTCTTACCCTGCTCTCTCTGGCCAGTCTGGCAAGATTGTTAAAGCTGGGCATCTCGTTTTTGTTCATGACGGAAATGTAGCAGGTGTTCTGTTGTGTCACTTTGGTTGCAATGACGCCCTGTGAAGAGAAAGGTATTGAGCACTGGCCGTTCTGTTTTGCAACTGGGAAAAGTTGGGAGAAAGTGTGGATTGAAACTAGCAAAGAATACCAAAAGTTCTTCCTGTAAATCCTGGACTGGAAAGGTTGAGAAGAAAGCAAGAAGCCCCATGCCTTGTTCAGCTGGAGCAGGAGGCAGCCTCCTGGCCTAGTGCCCAGACAAGCCCACTCCCTTCCACTCACCGTGTTGTAGTTCCAGATGGTTTTCCAGGAGCCAGTGGGGGTTGTTTGGGTGATAACTGCCACACGCCATTGCTTGTGGATGGTCAGAATTTGGGACTGGCCACCAATGATGACTTCCTGGTTATCACCCTGACCCTGATCCTGGGAAGGCTAAAACGGCAAGAGAAAGAAGGAAGCCTTTAGGCTTTGAAGGAAGTGGGTGACCTGCCCAGATCCCTGGGAGAAGAGAAGAAGTGCTGCCCGCCTGGAGTGCCAGCAGCGCCCTCAGGATCTCCTCAAGGACAAAGGATCAGGCCCTGCTGTGTTTCAGTGTCTCCATCCTCGAGAAGAAAGCTCTTCCAAGAGGAGGTGGCAGGGAAGAAGGGCATGGGGGTTGGCTTTGGGCAGCCCTGGC